ACCTAAATTTTCATCTATCACGTTACATAAGTCACCCCCCTCAAAACCCTAGTTTGTTAACCTCATTTTCTGAAGAACCTTTGAAGGAGGATCATGTTTCCTCACGCATTTGGGAGATCAAGGTGATCTTGGAAGGCAAGCTCATCTCTTTCCGAACCCATCCCCTTAGTTTTTCATTCTTAATGGTTTAAAAACTTAATTTGATGAATAAGATATGCAGATCCGAACACTAAATGATGAACATATAGGATTTTGAAGAGTACAACCCTAATTAATATACTAAAACATGTTTAAGTGATGTTTAGGTAGATTAGATCCCAAAAATCATGTTTTGATGATGAATAATTGTTTGGCCAAACCCCTACTACGTTAAACACGAGATCTAAACATGTTTATACACCCCATGATAATGTTTCACAAGTTCTTTTGAGAAAAATCGATTTAACTTCTTGAAAACCATGTTCCTGTTCTAGTACTATGGTCGGTCGACCGACCCCATGTCTCGGTCGATCGATTTGATTCTGAGAACTACATAATTTTTCTCTGGACGGTCAATCGATAGGATTTATCAGTCAACCGACCAAAGCTTGTTTTTGTGTATGTTTTGTGCATGTTTGCTTCGGTCGACTGATGGGGTAAATCAGTCGACTGATTCACTATCGGTCGACTGATTTCAAGAATCAGTCAACTAATCTGGAGCCGTTTTGCAAGTAATGATTTTTCTATGTACGTTTAGCAATGAACACGAAGAACGGGACTGCACGTCTATACACGTGCATGTCCATAGTGGGGTACATGCTTGGTTTAGGCACACACGGATCCTCAGGAGTGCGTGACCATGTGTCGAGCTGTTGCTATGTAGGAACGACAATTATCGAGTTGTATCGTCAGTGTCAACGTTCACAGGGATAACCGAGATAGGTTGTGAGCCGCACGAGATTGCGATGAACTGTGGGATACTGCGAGTACCTATGCTCCGCATTATACCTCTTTATGGATGTCTGAGTTCGGTTGTGATCCGCATAAGATTGCGATGAACTACAGGATGTTGTGAGTACCGAGACTCCACATCTCTTTTGTTTGCATTGTGTTCCGGATTGGGCTGATATGCCTATACTCCATAGGGTGTACGAGTTAGGTAGTGAGCCGTAAAATTGTGCGATGCGCCACAGGATAATATGAGCACCTATACTCCACATCATTTTAGTTGAAGAGAATTATACAAGATTGTGTATTTGCTCCCGTGTCATCTACCGCGAGGGTAGTGTGTGTAATATTGTGTTTAGACATGCACGGTGTGTCCTTGACGAGGTATCTCTCAGGTTTGTACTTTCATTCTGTACCACCTACTGTAAGCTATCTAAAAATTATTGCAGATAGTTGATCCTCATTAAACACCGATGATGGAAGTTATAATCTGACGGTTTTTAGAAGACTACAATTTGATAACTTTTACGTAGATCGATGAAAGCTCTAATTCAACAGTCTTCACAATCAGCATCGGGAGTTACAATCTGACGATTCTCATATTTCAAGGAGCTAAGACGAATGTTACAAGATGAGGATCTTTGCAATGCCTAGCAAAAGAGACTACAACATGATGGTATCTTAAAATCAAAACGCAAATATCTCTCAAACCGTATGGAATTTGGCAAAACAGACGGGAGCAAACTAAACCCTTAAGGTAGGTTTGGTCGGCTTCGTCTCATCGAGATAGTCAATTTTCATATATAATTTGTCTAATTCTGACTTACGATTTGAAAGTTATGATATGTTCTTCGCATCAAGTTATGTTCTGAAGTCCGTCTGCAAGACTGGACTTCGCCCGAACATTAGATTTAGCCTAAAGCTCTCCAAACTCACCTGAGGCTCGCCTCTGCGTTCCAGAGTCAAAACAAAGAGTTCATCTCTGCGTCCTAACAACAAAATGCAGAGTTTGTGTCTGCGTTCCAGACTCAAAATGCAGAGTTCGTAGCTGCGTTCCAGACTCAAAACACAGAGTTCATGGCTGCATTCTAGACTCAAAACACAGAGTTCGTGGCTACATTCCAGACTCAAAACGCAAAGTTCGTGGCTGCGTTTTCAGGCTCAAATACAGAGCCTAACTCTGCGTCCCAGGTCCAGAACGCAGAATTCATGCGTTTTCAGGCTCAAATGCAGAGCCCAACTATGCGTCCCAGGTTCAGAACACAGAATTCATACTTTTTTAGGCTCAAATGCAGAGGCCAACTCTGGGTCCCAGGTCCAGATGCATAATTCATGCTCAGAACGTAATTCTTGCGTTTGACTCGTTCAAACACGAGCTGAACGGTTTCAAAACCGTTTTCACGATTTGAGGGGCTCACCACTCTATCATGGAGAGATTTATGGGGGGCAGTTACACCCTATTAAACCCTCATTAAGGAGAGATTTAAGAGGGTGGTTACACCCCTTAATCCCCTATAAATAGCGGGAAACTCAACTGAGTTTGGGATCTCCAAGCCATCCTCTTTTCAGCAGCAAAGAAGAGATCTTTTGGCTGATCATCTTTAAGGGAGATCGACATTTATCCTTGGAGAGCTTAGAGCATTCTTCGGCAACATGAGCTTTCTTCATCTTTGGCTTACAAACCGAATTTCGGTTCAAATCAACTCTTCCACAGAGTTTAAACTCGCACAAAGTTCTTAAACTCGTTAAGAGTTGTTTTTAAACTTGTCACGCAAGTTTTATCGACTTCAATCCAACAAGGTGAAATGTCGGATCGTCAATGAGAAGCAAACTCGATACTAATATCGAGGGAGGCATCTCATCACTACCGTGAAGAACTCAGGTTAAACAAATGGAAGGATCTCAGTCGACCCTTTTCTCTTTTATAAACCGGGAATCCGATACAAGAAGATTGTAATTTGTTTTTTTAAATCTGTTAGAGAGAAATTATATTAAAAGAATTATAATTAATTCTTTTTCTAAGTGATCTGTTAGAGAGAATAATACAAATTCAATTCTCAATTGTCTTCTTCGAATTTTCCCACTAAACACCTACCCAAGGGTAGTGTGAGATGTTATTATACAACATGTGTGATGTATTTTTGGATGAGGTGTCGGTGATGTGTTTCCTTTTGTTGTTTGCCTATTTATAGGATTTTGGAGTTAATATCTAACAATTCACAATTTGAGATACATGGTATATATATGAGGGTTTCCTTGTTTAAATTATTCCATCGACGTACTCATCTCTGTAGGCGTCAAAAAATGCTGAAAAATATCCAAATACAGCTCAAGAGGAGATCATCCAAAGATCAAAAGAACACAATGAACAGTGTAAACTATCTCGGCACGCGAGACAGTGTTTACTGTCTCGCCGTGCGAGATAGTGTTTACTGTCTCGCCTGTCTCGCCGTGCGAGATAGTGTTTACTGTCTCGCAGTGCCAGACAGTGTTTACTGTCTCGCATGCGAGACAGCTCTCGAAAGATCAGAACCGTTTTGTATAACTGCCGACACGTGTCCATTAACTGTCAAAGAACATGGGGAACGTCGTGGGCAAGAATCACGTGGATAACTGTTAAAATAACAGAGTTTGAAACGTGGGAAGACAGTTACGGTGGAAACCGCTGGGCAGTTAGGTTTTCCGAGACAGTGTTTACTGTCTCGGAACCCGAGACAATAAACTCTGTCTCGGCCGCCGAGACAGCAAACACTATCTCGGCAGCCGAGACAGCAAATGTTGTCTCGCGAGCCTGTTTTCCGCCAACTGTTCATAGGGGCTATAAATACCCACCGACCCCCTAGGATCATTACTGACGAGGGCTGACCATTTTGGAGCAGACAGAGCAGAGTACTTGAGCTTCTGGCAATTCCTTGAGATTCGAGCTTTGACTTGATCTTAAGAAGAGTGATCATCTTACTTTGATAAGATATTCACTTCAAATTCCTACTTTGATAAACAAAGGAAGAATCACTAAACCCCTCACGATCTGTGATTTGGTGGTCCACGAGTCAAAGCGCTCCCGGCACAGGCAAAGTCCCACAAAACAAGAATCGATAAACGATTTTTGTGTTATTTTCTTAAGAGTTGTAATTTTCATTTTGTTGTGTAAAAGAAGTCTTATAAAAAGACTATCTCTTTCGAATTTGTTGTAATCGATCGAAGATATAATGAATTCCACAACGAGACCAACTTTTGATGAAAACAAACTGGCGACCACAGCGGGAGCCAACGGTCTCGCTGCCGAGACCGTCGTGTCACAGCCGATCAAGATACTGGTTGAGTCCATGGTTGAATATGAATTCGACCAAGCAAAGTTTGAGGAATATCTATCATCCTCATCCTCAAAGTCTTCCTCGCCTCACAAATGCAGGAAGATTTCATCTTCTAAGAAGGTTTTAACACTACAGATGAAGACTCTCGCTTGATTGTTGCTGAGGATTCTACTCGCA